TAACCGACACTTATGAAACAATCATTTAAGGCCTACATGGCCAACCACTACTCAACTTTTAACCATGGCCTCTACGACAAGTTAGTGTTATAACCATCGTCTACAACATTCATGTTGGGCTACTGCCTTCATTTCCATTGACAACGACCTTTGTGGCCCGTTACAGCTATTATTATTTATCTATCGTTGTACATCAACATTGTAATTCAATTTTCTCTAATTCAAAAGGTGAGTGAGCATCTGCACTTCCAATTACATAGTGGATTATTTCAACTTGATTAGGCCCCGTGTTTTTTTTTCCTTTCCAATTTTTTCCACATAGAAAATCGTAGCGTCTCCTCTTGCTTACTTCTCTTTTATGTGTGTGTGTGGAATCTTCATCCAACGCTAATACGCGAAATTATTGCTTCACCATCATGAATCTCCTAACACACAACAATATTAAATAATAAATGATACATAAAAATGATCTCAAACTCAAACTCAAAAATATGTAAATATTTATCTCTTCTCTTCACATCCAAACTGTAAATACTTTAACTAAAAAATATATATCTTTAATCTATAATATTCTTTATTTTTAAATATTTCATGTTAAATTAATGCATTGCCATGAGAATGAAATTAGATATAATCATTTAAGTATGGTGACATTCCCAAATATAATTTATGAAATTATCAATGACTCTAAATAATTGGAATAATATTAATAGTTATGATGGCTATAAATTATATTAGTAATCTGTGAACTTATTATTGCCACTTGCTCATATTAAATAATGAACCAAATGCAAGTCAAACTTATTATTGAAAACTCATTAATGAAAGTGTTTGCATACATCAAAAGTATCTCTAAATGTTACATCCATATTTAAGCTTGATTAGACCATTAACAAAACTCCTTCAATTTTGCCATCTTTAGGAAATGGAGATTTTTATTTTTAAATATTAAGTCAATATAATCATTTGGCATATCTTATTAAATGATTTGTAGGCATAAGATCCAGTGTTTAATGCCCAATTATTTATTTATTATTTGTGTAGTCTTTTTAAATTATTGAATAATTTGAATTTGACCTGATTGTTATTTTTGTTGGTGAGAAAGTTTGGATTAGTTAATTGAGTTAAATGGGACATATTCCTGATAATTAGGTCATGTAGTTCGAGTGAGGTCATGTAGTTCGTATATATATATATATATATATATATAATCTCGAACCACCTAACATATTGAATATAGCATATTAATTATCAAAATTTTAAACATCACATTTTAACCACCCAAAATTTTGATCCAAAACCTTCACTAATGAGAAAAAGAGGATGGCTGAAATAAATTTTTTTTTTTAATATTATATTTAAAATTTAGGTGATTAAAATATTATATTTAATATTTTGAATGGTTGATGATTAAAAACTCTTGTTTTTGGGTTCGTGAGCAAATTTGAATGTTGATACATAAGAAGGAAAAGGGTTTAACCAGTACGCTATGGGAGTGTTTGGGGCGGCGGTGCGGTGTCGCATCATTGTTTTTCTGTTTGACAAAATTGTGTTTTGCATGTGTTCTTAAAAATCTGCTGCTGAAAGCTGTATGTTCTCACTAGACATGACTACCTGCGGTGGCTGTCGAAAAGCTGTGATTTGGCTTTCTAAAAAAAAAAATCTTTTTGTAACAGTCAAAGCAATTTTTTCTTCAGCAGCTTCGTAGCTGATTCTTTAAACAATTGCAGCTGCTCTAAACAGAAGCTGCAGCTATCAAATTCAACTTCATGGAGGCTTGAGCTTGACGTATTACCATGAATTGACACCCCAAATTTCATGAGTTACATTTAGTTTTCTGATAACTCTTAATAATTTTTGAATTAGTCAAGTACAGTTGCTCTACTTTTAACAAGCCAAATACCATATCTTATGATTGCATAACTGCTCAGATAGTTATTCATTTCATTTTATTTCTGAACATAGAAATTTAAAAACATGTGCATTTTTTTTGCTTAATAATAATAATTTGGCTAAGAATGTTGCTTATGATTACTATGAGTTTTAAATTTAATAAATTTAGTTTGGGATGAGTATAATATATATTATATGGTGTATTTATTTTGGTTGTGACTGTATGAAATCTCAGTAAAAAATTACGGTGAAAAATCTATTTTTTAAAAGTTGATGTTTCTCGTTCCGCTTGAAAAAAAAATTAATTTTTAAAATACTGTCTATAAATAAATTGTGTGAAATAACTAGGAATTGTGGGGCGGGAACGCGGGCAAGGCGTGATGGCTCAGTGAACCTGGCCCCTTTAGGAAAAGCCACAGGGGCGGGAATATTACATCAGTACTACGCTCGTAGAGTAACGTGCGTGGCCAATGAAATCACGCCACGCTATCCCGTGCGACTGGAAAAAAAAAACGACGGTGTAACACGGAGAATATTACTGCCCGCGTTACTCATGTGTTATTGTGTGTTATTCATGTGTTATTGTGTCCTGAAAATATTCCTGGTGTTATAATAACACAATAACACATGAATAACACATGAATAACACAAGAATAACACGGGAGAGAATATTCCCCCGTGTTATTGCGCCGTTTTTTCTCTGTCGGGAATATTTCCCGTGTTATTCAAGTGTTATTGTGTGTTATTCACGTGTTATTGTGTCATGAGAACATTCTTGTTGTTATAATAACACAATAATACATCACTAACACATGAATAACACGCAATAACACATGAATAATGTGCATAACACATGAATAACACGGAGGGGAAAATTCTCCGTGTTACTGCGCTAGAAGCCTGCCTAAGAAATTTATGCTACAGGTTGTAATTTGATCTATCGAATGTCATATTCAAAACGTGTAAGCCGGTTAGGCGGTTCCGAAGTGGGCCGAAAAGACTGAAACAAAGGCGCCTTTAATTGATTGAATATGTAATAATCATATCAAAATAAAATTGAATGATTTTATAATTTATCATTTTTTTGGATCATATGTAGGGCACCCATATTTTATAATTTTATAAACCTCAAAATAGGGCCGCAAGCAAGTTGAATTGATCTCTAGTCATGCCAAGCCTGAGCTCAACTCATTTGTCAAAGTACAATTTCGAGCTCAGGCTAAACTAACATTACCAATAATAGACTTTGGGGCTCAAATAAAATTGATATGGAAGTTCTTAAAAAACATCATTTAAGTCATCGATGGCGGGAGAGAATGAATAGAGAAGGTGTATGTCACCAGAATCCTACTAGTTTAGTTATAAGATCCAAAATTTTCATATCACATCAAAAATATTATCATTTTAACTTGAAAAAAAAAATGTAATACATATTTTAAGGCATAGATAAGGTTGTGTATATGTTAAAATTTAAGGGCTTAATGAGTAAATACATAAGAATTAACTGGTATATATGTAAATCTTCCTAAGGACAGCGCATGGCCCACTGCCCGTCTTCCACTGCATGGGGATGCCTGCAATATCTAATAATGGTGCGTGCGAGTCTCTGTCTTCTTGTTATCATATGAAAATAGAGAAAATATTAAGTGCTTCTTCACATTGGTCAATATTTATTAAGTTAAAAATTAAGGCCATCCACTTTTAACATAAACAGAATATTTTTTCAATAAAAAAAAAAAAAAAACATGTTATAAACTTTTTTTTTTGTTTTTTGAAAAGATTATATAAATACCTTATAATTCATATATGTTTATATATATCTAATATTAAAATTTCAAATTTATATTTATAATATTTTTTTAATGGGCAAGCCATTTTAAAAGCAAATAGCTAGAATGGAAGTTCTTTGTTAGGAGCGCATATTACGTCAGACTTTGAACATAGAAGTACATTCGGATTCCAATAGTAGTTGTGTTATTGAAATATCTCGTTGTGTTACAGGAATATTTTATATCTGTAGTAGTTGTGTTATTGAAATATCTCGTTGTGTTACAAGAATATTTTATATCAATATTTTATATCTGTTAAAAAATGAAGTGTTATTCGAGTATTATGTGGTGTTATTGAAATATTCATTCGCGTTACTTGATTTGAGGCTATGTTCGACATATTCCCCGTGTTATTTCGATTTGCATTATGTTATTATTGGAATAACACAACCTCAAATCAAGTAACGCGAGAGAATATTCCAATAATACTTCATTTTCCACAAATAAAGCTGGTGGAATATTCCTAAAACACAGCGGGATATTCTTATAACACAGCAACTATTGTAATTCGAACGTAGTTCTACGTTTGGGGTCCTGACGTATTATTTTTTCGTTTGTTTGAGGCCACGTTTGATGATGTTGTTTGTTGAGAAAATTTTATTTTAAAACAATATCAAAAAAATCGGTATTATATTGTATGTTATGGTAAAATGATAGTAATTGAATATGATAGAGGCAACGGCCCACGAATGAAGGAAAAATCAATATCCAATGTGGAACGTAGGGCCGAAACTGATGGTCTCATCGCTTTCGTAATTGAGCCAAATCTCTATTACGGTGGAAGCAAAGTTTGGCAAAGCTTATCATCCAAATGACCATTCTCCTTTTTCTGTACACCACGACCGAGTTTAAACTTCTCCTCAAACGAGCTCTTAACCAACCGCTTTCCATAGTTCAATTATATTTATCACCATACTAAAATTTTAAACAAAAAAAAAATTATTTCACTTTTTTAAATTAAATAATAATAATAATTTATATGTGCAAAAAAATTTGAAAGGTTTGCATATAAATGTAAAACTTTAAATAATAGATAAATAAATACAAACAAATTTTATGATATATATGTAAATTTCAGTTTTTTTTTACTCATCAGAGAAATCTAATTTTTGTCTAAAATAATCTTAAAATTCATCACATATTAAAATCGTTATAATATTTTTTATTTAATTATTCATAAATTTTAATATTTTAACTTTTTTACTATATATTTTATAATAAATAATTACAAAATTCAGATTTATTTTGATCAAATTTAACTGTGAATTTCTTCAAAATGTGACATTTTTTTTATTCCATCGTTTTCTCCACAGTCAATACTAAATAAGTCATATTCTTCTCCCTTCTCGCCCTAAGTATCACGAGCATCTTTCCCGATCGAAGCAATGGCGACGCTCAGAGTTCCACAAGTCGTCCCCTCACCCGCTGACGACTGCGATCAGCTGCGGAAGGCTTTTGTTGGTAATCCCTTCTCCGCATTGTTTCCTCTCTTCTCTTCTTCCATCCGATCTCAGTCTGAATCCTCACTACAGGTCTTGGGACGGACGAGAAAACGATCATCTCCATATTAGCCCACCGTAATGCCACTGAGCGCCGCCGGATCCGTGAAACCTACCATGAGAAATACGGCGAAGATCTCTTTGTTTCTCTTAAGAAGGAGATCTCCGGCGACTTTGAGGTACCCATTTCTCTTTTTATCACTTGAATTCTCGGCTTTTTCGCTTGATCTGAGGTTGCTTCAGCTTAGATTGATGGGTGTTTTTTCCGTGCTTGCAGAGGGCGGTGACGCTGTGGACACTGGATCCAGCGGAGCGGGATGCGATACTGGCGAACGAGGCGGCGAAGAAATGGCATCCAGGGAACCTCGTATTAGTGGAGATAACTTGCTCGAGGAGCGCTGGGGAGCTGTTTGCGACTCGGAAAGCGTACCATGCTCGATTCAAGAGGTCTTTGGAGGAGGATGTGGCCGCTCATACCAAGGGGGATTTCCGTAAGGTTGTGATTTTTATCTCTAGGTTTTTTCCTTATTTTTTGATCGTCTGATGATTGGTATGTAATTGCTATTGCACATTCATTTAATTTTCAGCAAAAAGAAAGATAAGAGCAATATAAGAAACAATTATGATTTGCTGAAACTGTTTTACTTGTAATTCATTTGTTTTGTAGCTTTGCTTGTGTATAATGAAACTCGGGTGTTACTACAGCTCATTTTACTTTTCTTTGTTAAAGAGAGTGTGTGTGTGTGTGAGATATATATATATATACAAATAGATAGATAGACATAGTTTGCTATGCTAGAAATCTTGAAATTGAGAAGGA